ATCCAGTTCGCAAACCGAGGCAAGGCATGAAAAGGTTCCGAAGCCCGAAGGCAAGGCTCTCAGCCAAGACTCCGTAACCTCAGAACGAGCACAATATGTGTCATCACCGAGCGCTCAATCGATGACGTCTGAGTCTTAAGGTCGGTCAAAAATGGGGTGTCTACACATGCTAGTTTAATTGTGCCTCGTTGTGTCCTTAATCCATGACATGTTGTTGCATACTTGGCCTATCAACATGTTGTTGCATGTTTAAGTGGTATTGCATTTAGTATGCATCTCTCGTTAAGTTGCCTAACATGTTGTTACATGCTTACCTACCCTCACATGTTGTCACATGTTCGCCTTGCATGCTTGAACGTCCATGTTGCATCTTGCATGCTTGTCTAGGTTACATTGCATTTGGCATGCTTGTTACCTTAACATGATCATGTTGCATTAGTTTTGTTTGCATATTTACATCCCTTGCCTCTTGATCGATCATGATAGAGGTTAGGATCTATTGTGTGTTTGTGTGCATTTCATTTGATATCAAATTGCACATTCGGCACCTTGGGCCATCATGTATTGAAATGCGTGATTGATGGCCCGAGGGTCGAGAACCATGCTCCTCTAAGTCTCAAACATGATAAGGAGGGTGGTGGTGCATAAATTGCTTTGAAAATGCATTGCCACATTCTGTCTATCCTCTGCTGTAGCAAAACAGGATTCTGCAGGAAGAGATGGTCGGTCGACCATATTTAATGCTGGCCAGCCATTAATTTTTAGCCGATATTACCACAAATGGTCGATGACCAGTTCCCCATGGCCGGTGGCCTCACCTCTTGGTCGGTGACATCCCACAGTGCTCAGGGAGTGATTCTGAAGCTTCCTTGGGACTTGTGAAGTTTTCAAAAGTACAGATCAGTGTAAACAGCGCTAGCATGAGTATGGCGATGGATTTCCGAGCAGAGCCGAGCGTGCATGCATTCATCCCTCCTCTCGAGGCCTCTTTACTGCTTTCTTAGCTTAATTAATTCATTTAATTAATTAAGTATTGTGTAATATTTAATTAGCTTGTTAGCTAATTAATCTGTATTATTCTTTCAGTCCCTCCCTCGAGAGGGCGCAATTATGTAATAAGCGTGCATGTGTGTGATGCATGTCTTCCAACCTCCACTTCTTTCTCCCTTTTACTTAACCGCTTACGATGGTTAGTTCTAGGGCATATTTGATTTAGCATACCTTATGCTATGCATGTTTGCATTCATTCATCTATATTACATGCACCGGGCTCAGTGCATCATACTAATTGCATTGTATTTAAATTTCAACTTGAATACATGTATCGAATTGTCGCATCTCATATGCCACTTTAGATTAGCCGAGCCTATTCTAGTTGCATTTTGCCTGCGATACATTAGCCATTTTAACATGGACTTGGATCATACATTTGATTACTAACATGTTCATTGTTTTAGCTCAGAGTACACTATGAGTATTTATGCTTTAGCATCTTGCATATGTGTAAGTGTTAACATGACAGCATGCTTGCCATGAGACTATGTGCTTATGTGATATAACTGCCTGAATGCCTGTGGGTGAAGGCTGGGTTGCTTGAATTGGACCAATTCATTGAAATCCGTGTTTTAGCCTACTTACGAGTAGCAAACTTCAAACCATTTCCAAACAAACGAATATGTGATGCTTTGTTCCAAATTAGGCGATCTAGTCTATACTTGTGTGTTGTGCGCATCACATAGTAATTCTAGCTAATTAACCAGAATAAGAACACATATGTTTTCAAAACAAAATATCATGTTTAGTACAGGCCGATCTTTGATCGGGCGAGCGGGGGTGCTCATAGATGACCTTCCCCAATCGTACCCAAGTTTCCCGAGCTGAGGCAACTTTGGTGATGACGGACATGTGGCCTTAGGCACGAGTCAGGATTTCCTAAATTCCCCCAAAATAAAATATTTAGGTGGCGACTCTATATCTGGCAAAGCAGTCCATGTTTGGTACTTCTTTCTTAAAAATCTATTTTCCAAAACGATTTGTTGGATTTGGACTCTTTGGTGATTTGTCAGTCTTGCATTGCATATTGCGAGATCAGATTAAGAACCGTGACATTTGAGTCCGAACTGTGGTAGCATAAAGCCCTCAAGGGCGCGTCCACAGGTACTTTTGGATAAAAAAAACAGGTACATTCACATCCCTATTACAGAACAAATGCACGAATATCTTGTACAAAGAAGTCATGAGACTAGAAAAATGAACCATTACATTGATAGAATTGAACATTACTCTATATAAAACTTAACATTGATAGAGAACATAATTTTTTATATATTCATCATTTCCATTGCATTAGAGTTGGGTCCTTATACTTATTATAATTGGAAAGGCATTAAATACTTTGTGAAAAGGATATATTAAAGAAACAATACTCTGTATAATTTTTCCCATCCTCCAAAAAGATAAACAAAAATAAATTTAATAAATGCAATTTATGAAACATTGAAACAAAATGCATAATTTACAATCAATTTCTTCAAAGTAGATCTATAATACAATGACTTCAGCACTAACTAAATCATGAGGCCTTTTGTCCTGTTGGTATCATCAAAAACATGATTACATTATCATAATAACACTTCTATTAAGAAGTTGAAGGGTCTTGAACCCCTACCTTGTTCTTGGAGATATCCTTTTGACCCAATGGCCTAGATTAGAAGACCTGTAGTAAGCTCAAGACTTCACAATCAATTAAATAGCTTTAACAAGGAATGCCACCATTTTCCTTGCAATAATACAAGAATTCTAGTGTAATAGTATGTGATCTAATCGTAAAAGTAACAAAAAAAATCTACAAAATGGCGTTTTGTAGTGATGCGCAACCATCAATGTATATCAAAGTTTTAAACCTCATACTTGCACAATTACACGTGTCCCAACTGAACAAGTAAAAAGAATTATCATAGTAATGCATAATTGTCCATGCAATTCTTATTCTTAAACTGCTGGTTCAAGAACAAGTCTTTTTCACTGGTTGCAAATTTGGTCAGAACAAAACAATGGTGGAATGCTCGCCATGGACTTCCATGATAAATATTAACTCAATACAATAAGACTAGAATTTCATTTGCATGTAACAAAGACAAATGGAAACTTAAAGCAATGATTTCTCTAGAATTGAGATATAGGTAGTACATACTTGAAATATCTAATGGTGGGAGATTCTTTGAAACCATAGATGTGACCCAGTCCTCAAAACCTCTCTATGACATTTTTACATACACTTGGTGAACATAAATCAAAAGATTAGTTTGCTCACCAACACAGGAAAACAGACCAACCCATTTTCACAAACACTGACACATGAAAAGAACATCCAAAATCTCAGAAACCATAGTTGCATAAATAGGATGCTAACTTAGATGACTTCAATTCTCAAAAAAAAAAAAAAAAAAGAACATCCAAAATCTCAGAAACCCAAATTTCTTTCATTGTTTTCGGGACATTTGAACAAGGGTCCCACATAGCAATCCCTCTATTGTAATGTTTCATTATCCCATACCAGCAAGTGTTAACACAACGGAGAAGAATAAATTAATCTTTTCAGTAAGTAAATGTAAAAATAAATTGATAAAATGTACAAACGATCTTGACTCCCAATGAACAATTGATTGCAATACACAGAACAAAGTCAATACCTCTTTCTTCTTCAAGTCTGCCAAGCATGACTCAAGAGTCCATGGTAACTTGTATACCCACAATTAAAGCAGAACCCCTTAGGCCCATTCCATGTGCTAGGGCGGCCTAAAATAGGACGGCCAAAACAACATAGGCAAATGTCTAAAAAATAGTTAATACAAACAAAGGAAATAAAATGTTATTGACCATTAATGATTAAACCCACCTTTGCAGCAGCTTTTGAAACTGTAGGATGTGAACTCAAGCCCAAGTAATCATTTCCAGAAAATAAAGTAGCTTTCTAAACTTCTGAGGGCAAGCTCCATTTTCAGCTTCTTGGTTGCCACAATCAGCATCATCTCCTACAACCATACAAAAGATCAAAGGGTCATACTAATATAACAGCTCATTAGGCTATCAATAAGAGAGGAAAATGCCCCCCAAAAAAAAAGAAGTTAAAATCTCAAGATAATTTTTGCACGCTCCAAAGAATTTTACATATTTCTATACGCTTTTTACACATTTCAATGCACTTCATACACATTAAAATTTTCCAAGATAAATACCATAACCTTCAAACAATAGGATGTTTTATCATTCTACTTTTTATTTTAATTTATTTTTTAGATAGGAGGGTAATAGGGGAAGGGAAGCTGCACTCACAGCGGTAAGACTTGAAGCCAGGCATCGAACTTGGCAAGGGAGCACACATCCACTAGGCCAACCCTTTAGTCCATTCTTCTATATTTTGGGGAACTAAAATGTATAGAAAGATATTGCCATACTTTGAAGCAAGAAAAACTATGTAGCATTGTCATGGTGAGGAATTCCCCTATTTAGTTACTAGACTTCGACCACAGATAAAGAGTTACAGTTTTATTTGAATATAACAATTCCCTTATTTAGCTAGGGGAAGTGCTACTATATACACCTCCAAAATGATACATGTATACACTCAAAATTTCAACTACAATAGTTAATAAATTTCATCAATTTGGGTCACTTATAACCAAAACCACATTAGTTCATAAACAAAAACACCACTAATGACTCATAATAACCAAGGCCACTTCAGTCTATAACAAAAAACTACAAAAGCTCATAACCAAGACGTCTTCGGTTTATAAACAAACACTACAAAGAGGCATAACCAAAATCAAATTGAATCATAACTAAAAAATCTATATATATATCACCATGAAGTCTCACAACCAAGTTCACCACAAATTCTCATAACAAAGCACCACATGATCCATAATTCAGACCATAATTCAAACATCACCATACAATTTTCCCACAAATAACATTGAATGAAAACAATGTTAATGTGCTGAATTCAAAAACTCAGAACTCATTCAAATCAAAACAAACCCAGAAAAAGATGAAACACAAGAAAACAAAATGAAACCCAATTAAATTAACCGTACCACAACTCGGAACCTCACAAACCCATCTCTGAAATGTGCTATCAGCAATCACTACTTCAACAGATGCCCTACCCCATTGCCGCAAACCGTCGAACACCTCGAATTCATCGTATTTTGAAGCATTCTTGATCTGGGTATCGATGGGTTTCAATTATTCATTGATAGGGGTGAATGGGTCTGAAGAGAATAGAGGAGTTTCAGAGATTCCAACTTGGAAAGTGCCTCTTCTTCCCATTGGTCCCAAAAGCTCGTCTCCATTTGCTGACACCAAAGAAATGCTAATGTCGTGAACAAATTGAGTTCAATATATATACTTGAAACTAGTAGAGCCGAGAGAAAGAGAGAGAGAGAGAGAGAGAGAGAGAGAGAGATGGACAGAGAGGGAGGGACAGAGAGAACGAGATCGAGATTGACAGAGAGGGAGAGAGACTGAGAGCGACAGAGAGAAAGAGAGCCCGAGAGTGACAGAGAGAGAAAAATACCTGTGATTATGTGGCGGTGGTGATTTGCAGGTGGCGATGTCGAAGTGCGACGGTGGCGAGCGCTGATGGTGAGTGGGGGTGAGGTTTGGTAGTGTCTGAGACAAAAGTGTATATCGTGTGTGTGTGAGAGAGAGAAGCAGAACAAAGTGTAAATATATTGGGCGCCAAAAATAATTTGTTTTCCTCTAAAACAAATACTACAACCTTTAGCGACTAAATAAATTTTTTGTCACCTAATAACAATAAATAACGACTAAATATTTTGCAGCCAAAGATTGAGTAATAGCGACTAATAAATTTTTAGTCGCTGAAAGTATTTTATAAATCCCTCCAAAATATTTGAAATGTCTCCCTTCAAAAAAATTTAGTTCTTTGGTGACTAAAATTCTTTTTTGTCGCTGAAAATAACTTTTGGCAACCAAAATTTTGGTCGCCAAAGGTAAAAAAATAATTTTTTATTTTTTATTTAACGACAAAATGATTTTAGTAGCTAAAACTCAACATACGGCGACTAAAATTTTTTTTTTGTAGCCAATTCTAGCATTTTTAGCGACTAAATTTTTTTTTGGTCACCAAAAACCAATATACCCCGACTAAAAAAAATTAGTAGCTAAATATTTTACTTTTGCCGATTAAAAAAATTTTTGGTCGCTAATTCCACAACTTTTAGCGACTAAATTTCTTTTAGTTGCTAATTTTGGTCGCCAAATGTACATTTTGTTGTAGTGACTTTGAAGTTACTTCTATATATTCATGTTGGGCCTTCACAACATTCACTGTCTACCTTGAGGGGGAGTGTTAGAGAATATATGAGAATATTGTAACATCCCACTAATATTTCTTTCCTTTTTCTTTAGTTCCTAATTTAGGATTCTGTTTGCTTTAAGTTGTGGATCTTTTCCTTGCAAGTCTAGGATTAGTCTTGTATATATATTTGTACTGACTACTATGAATAATACAACGAATTATTCTTCCCACACAATTTTATTAGGAGTCTATAAGGATGAGCTCCGAACATTTTTTCATATAATTACAAAGAACAAAGCCAACAATATTAAAACAAACATGTTATGTTAATCATTTATTTATTTATTTAAGAAATTTACTCAAATAGAGACACTAGAGAACTCTTGCTTCTTTAATTGAAAAAGCCGCGGATACTACTTTATAATTATCAAAAGCTTCCCAACAAAGTGTTAAGGACCATTTTCAAAGCACTACAGGAATTTTGGCCATTAGCGACGTTTAAAAAACGCCACTATAAGTTATAAAAACGCCGTTAAACGATAAAGTGGCGTTTATAATTATCGTCGCAGATACGGCCGCCGTCTTAAGTTTATGACGTTTATTAAACGTCACTAATGACGTTAGCCGGCGCTTTTTAAAACGTTGTAAATTCTTATACATCCGTAACGTGAAATCCGTCACAGTTAAACGCTGACGTCATATGACTAGCTTTAGTGACGTTTTTCAAAAACGCCATCTTTTCTCCTTGTTATTTAAAAAAAAAATTCCACTGCTATTTATGGGGGAAAAAAATATCAGTTACTTTCATTTCTGAAAATAATGCTTCTCAAAAAAAAAAAAAAAAAACAAAAATTTAGCAAAATACGGATTTAATTGTCAAATGGCACTATTAGCTAAATAAGATCAAATCTGAAAGTTAAGGATTCTTATATAGAAGCACATAAACAAAAATAAACCAAACAAGTTTAATTCCTCTTCCAAATGACTACAATTTTACATTTGACAAACAACACAAGAACATTGTAACATTTCCTAGCTATTTATATTTAACCACAAACCATACCCCAAAAAAATGTTAATAAAACCATTAAAATATTGGAAAACTCATTCATGGGTCAATGCTCCTACAAAAAAACACTGGAATCAGTCAAAAAAATAGAGAAGCTAACCCAAAAATAAATAAATAAAAAGTTAGCAAATTATAATTATTGCCAAATAATAAAGCTAGCAAAAAACAGGTTTAAAACTCTTCATCTCCACCACCTACAAACACCCACATTCAAAAAAAACTTCACGTTCATCACATAAATGTATTTACTCATAAGAGTGAAGGACCATCATAATCTGTATGAAGTTCAGGGTGGCATTCAGGAGGAAGTTGCCTTCTAGCTAAAATTTCTTCATATGGAGAGAACATACATGCCTCAGTAGATATCAATTCAAGAAAACAATACAATCTAATTTTTGCCCTTTCAAAATGGGGCATATATCAGAGATCAATTCTTCAAACTAGCAAAATAAATATTGATTTATTACTGAAATCTGTTCCTCATTAATGATTTCAACTGGTTCATACTATGATGATCCAAACAAAAATTAATGAGTAGGACAATAAAGAAAGAACAAAGCATATAGACAATGAGATGAGGGTTTGTATGTGTTTTATGTTGTGTGAACATTTGACAGTCAAGCAGAGCATAAAATGTGTACCTACCTACCTGTCTCCTTCACCCCCAAGGTTTGTGATATTTCAAGAGAGAATGTAATTTGTAAAGCATTCAATTTTATACACTGAGATGAGGGTTTGTATGTTTTGTATATTCCATTTCCTGCAAATACAATTACTGGTATGTTTTCGTGTTCTCAATAATGTAATAAATATATATAGGTCTATGACTTACTCATGCCTCTGTAGTTTCATGTATGCCAAAAAGGTGGCCATATGTGGCAAGGGTCAAAGGTGAAGGAGAGGGACGGAGAGAGGAATAGAGGTGGCCGATAGTGGTAGTAGGCTCACAGATGACGATGGAAAGAGCAATAAAACAGGTAAGAAAATCGCAGAATACTGTTTGAGTGTTGCAAGAGACTTACATCTTACAATTGAAAGCAAGACTAGACTTGCTAGTCGCTGCTTTTCAGCAACAGTAGTTGTAACACTGCCAGTTGTGGGACTGTTATTCATCTGCACAACAGAAAAAATTAATAATAATAATAATAAGGAAAAAAAAAAAAAAGCACACTCAGGAAAGGAATGCTTGGTGCCTGGTGGCCTCAAGTCTACATACATTCAATAAATTTAAAATAAAAGTGGAGACGAATGCACGGATGCACGAGGAAGCAGAGAAGGTGCAGAAAACCTCCATTCATTGAAATAAGTGAATCAACCAGTTACACCAACGCACAACCAGATACTTTGTTAAAAATTGAGTAGTATACAATGTCATGAATGCAGAATACATTCCCATGATACAGTCATTGGCAAGAACTCAAGACTCAAAAGTCAAATGAATAAGGACTATTTGGTATGTAAATAAATGGGATTGAGATGTCCATAAAGAAAATTTCAGGCACATTTCATCTAGTTGTGTATCTGTCCTGTATAGTTAGCAGACAATAGCCATAGAATACTAGAGAGTTCAGAATCTCACCATGAATAAGAGAAGGCCAGTAAGTATGCTATATTTGAGATGTCCATAAAACATGTTTTGAAGGGTCCTGCCAAGAATCCAATGACATGTTAGAAGAACGAAGTTTGGGCTGTCAAAAGATAAGATTGATTAGACTTCATTTATTTGCTGAGGAAAAGAAAAATTAGAATTCTTAAGACTATCATAATGAGCAAGTGAAATTTTCACAGGCAAACAAATCACACACCTTTGCATGAGAAATAGTGGAATTCACAACAACTGCTGCTGCCAATATATTATCTGTGAATAGTGCATAGTGGTACAACCTAGGGTCTTCTAGTTTCTCTTGATTGGGAAAGTTCCGCTCTGAAGAATTCAAACTAAAGTACTCGGTTGAAAGGCGCAAGGGAAGACAGTGAAGACCTTTAGGTAGTGTTTTTGTAGTCAAGTGCGTTAGAAACAAGGTCTACTTCTTGTGGACCCGGAGCTGTTCTTATGTCGAGTGAAGCATAGCACGAAGCTTCTTTACCATAGCAGTGCAGTCATCTTGAATTTGCTTCCCTTTGGCCAATGTTTGCTCCAATGCTTTTAACTTCTCAACAGAACTGTTATTCAAGTACAGATCATGATTGTAGGTTAGAACAAAAGAAGACAGAAAAAATGGTCAATAACTTACATCATACAATATGAAAACTTTTTGCTTGCCAAACAAAGACTCAACAAGCAGAAACATCAATTAGGCATTTGGCGAGAAGCTAGACTACTTTAAAAGCAGATGGCAACAACAATATAAAGAGAGAAGACTTACTTCCTTGGTAGTTCAGAGTCCTTGATTGCTTCCCCAAGTGATCGTTGAGCTTCCTTCATCCGTAGCCGAAGCTCCCTTATAAAGTGGGGATTGTTTCTTGTAGCTGTAAGGGAAAGGTACACCCTTCCCTGGATAAGCTAATCTTTAAGATGCCGAACACGAGCATCTGATGGCATAACTGTTTTATCATTTTGTTTCTCAATTTGGGTCTTTATGGGTTCTCCCGCACCAAATTTGATGGAGGTTTTAGCAGATTGTTTCTCAAGTTTTGTTTCCTAAAGTACAAAATCAAAATATAACAATCTTTCAAGATTTGAATAACACAATTCCGCCCCACCCTAGAATAAGTAGCAAGTTTACCAAGTCAATCATATAGAACCAGATGTAGATCACACTGGAAGGTAGTTGGTTGAAAATTTAATGGAAAACTGACTATTGATGCAAAAGTTGAATTTTAATCCAAAAACCCTGTAATCACTGGCATAATATGGTAAATTCAACAGCCTGGAGCACGTAAGTAATTTTAGGTTTATGGGCTTTACTCATAATTATAAATTTGCATAATGTCAAATCACATGCTACGGTATGTCATATACTCCTACCACTTTAACATGGTCATGACAATCTCTTGTTAACTAATTCAGCACAAAGTATGCATTGGCTCTCAGAATCCATACCTTAAGAATATTCTAATTGTCAAACTTGAGATTCCACACCACCTGGCATCAGCTAAATTGAACTGCTCAAAAGGAATAGTAATTGTTTCCAAGAGGACCATTACACACTGAAAAAATAATTAGGAACTAGATGATGAAATCATCCAAGCAACCACCAAATCCAATTGACTACATATATATATATATATATATATAATAACCAAAATGCAGATAGCAAAATCTTCTGCCACCTGCTGACACGATGAAAGAAAATGACAACACAACAAATCAGAATGAATCTAGTAATAAAAGATTTACCAGGTTCACAGCAGCATTATTGGAGGTGGAGGTGGAGGTATCCTCAGAGACCCCCACTTTCCCCATTTTGTCCTTGACATTTTCTTGCTCCTTGTTTTCATTTTGGTCGGTTAACCCAGGTTTGTGCCCTTGTTCGGTCACCTGCCTAATTGGATTTTTCTCCTCAGGATGACGATCTCCTGTGCCATTGGTTGTGGTTGATACTGTGTTTAAGTGCTCCGCTGATTCTGGAAATTGCAGTTTCGAGATTATTAAGTCGGTTGTGAAAAAGGAAACAAGGAATGAAAAGTAAATAAAGCAATATTGACCGAATTTCATGGATTTTACAGAACCAGTAACATATTGTAAGAAAGAATTAATTCAAAGTTACAGTGGAGAGATAGAGATAGAGATAGATATGAACCTTCAGTTAGTTGTCTAGTTTTGCGAGAGTTCTCCCCAGTTGAAGCATTCGAATTTGAAAGAGATAGACCACTAGAGTTTTCCAAATATACCATCCCCAAAGCTCTTTTAGATCTGAAACATATGTTTTTGAATAAAAAATTTCAAATCTCAAAACATATTTTTGAATGAGAAATCTCGTATCTGAAACATATGTTATTGAATAAGAAATTTCGAAATCCAGTATGAAGAGCGAGGAAGATAGTGAGTCATGTATTTGAGACCAGATCTGATGGAGCAATAGAGGGGGAGAGAGAAAGAGAGACAGAGAGAGGACGAGACCTGAGGGGCGGTAGCGACGGGAGGACCAGACCTTAGGAGGATTACCAGAAACCTAGTATTCATGCTCCTCTTGCTTCGACTCGACCGGTCTCGGTCTCGATCCCTGTCTCGATCCCGATCCATGATCTCGATCCTTTTTCACTCCTCAGTCTCGTAACCTGGCGTTCGTGCAACTCAACCGGTCCATCTTCCTCTGCAAAATCATCAGAATCAGAATCAAGAAAAACAAAAAATTGTCTGGAAATTTCAACCAAATCGATTCCAGAATCGATGGATTTAGAATTAAATCTGACCAAGCAATCGTAATCGAACTGGTGAATCTCTCAAGAAGCATGAGAGAGATGAAGAAAACCCTAGATCTAGGACGGAGAGAGCAAACGATAGAGAGAGAATGATAGAGACGGAAAGAGAAATGGGAGACAGAGCACTGTTATAAAGTGAAACGCGTGTTTAATTGGTGCATTTTAATCTAACGCGTGTGTTTAACGCGTCTTTCACAACGTTTGTCCAAGAAACGCTGTCTAAGAAACGTTGTTATAGCCATGTTTTCTTGTAGTGAAGACCTTAACTGTTTCCGCATCTTTAAAATTAAAGATGAAAAAACCATTGTCAAGAGTTGTATTTCCATGTTTATATTCTTTCACACCTTTCCATTGCTTCACAAAATGAAAAGGAAGTTTTTTGTCCATGAAATAGCCGACTATAAAAAATTATGACCAAATTATAAACATATTTCTTGAAGTTTGCTTAAAAAATGAATTGTCTTTTTGTGATTTTGAAAATTATATTTCGCCTCTTAAAATTTCTAATTTCATAACAGATAGCCCCATTTTGTTAATATTAAGTTAATTAACAGTTTTTAATAACGTCAGAAATTTATTTCAATTATAATTCAAGTAATTTATTGTTATATAGGAGAACAGTTAAAAAGTTTATTTGTTTAGTTAATTCTGTTAGATAAAAAATTATGACAATGAGATATTTGTAATCTTTTTAAATTATAGAAAGCAATCTATATTTTAAGCAAATTCAGAGACTGTAAATGTAATTTATCCTAAATGTATCAAAAACTTGAACGGAGGTTGGTATAAATAAATATTTTTTTATATAAGCAAAAATAAGATTAAGATGTTAAATAAAATAAAAATTGTATGGTACACACACCTTAGTCCTCGTTTGGCAACTGACTCTTTTAGTCAAAGAGTCAAAAAGTTACTAAAAAAACTAAAAAGCCAACAACTCATATCAAAAAGTCAAAGATTTCATTTTCTCTCTACTTTTTGCACATCTTTTCGTAAAAAGTTAAAAATTCATCCCAAGCATACTAGATTTTTTTACATCACATTTTAGCCAAAAAATTACTAAAAAAGCCTATTCCCAAACGAGGCCTTAGTTATGATTTTTTAGATATTTAGTTATGATCTATTTTGGTGTCAGTTATAACTTGGTTATGACTAGCTATAGATATTGTAGTGTTAATTATGACTCATTGTCATATTACTTATGACATTATTTTAGTTATAACTTATATGATGTTTAGTTGTTAACTTCTTTCTTTTATTTTTATTTCTTAGTTATGACTATCTTAAGATGGAGTTATGACATTTGTGATGATCAACTACACAAATGTCATAACTTACATAAGATACACACTCTTTTAAGTGTGTATTGCATGACTCTTAAATAAAATAGGAGAATTAACACTTCAATGTATATTTATTCAAACAAATTCAAATTAATGGTAAACTTTAAAAATTTTAATAATTAAAATCATATACGTTCCGTTAGATTAGTTAATAATTATTTGTAACAGAAAACCGTAAAAGGCACCTGCAAAAGTATAATGTATTCATGAACCAGTTGAAATCAGCATTGTCCAAATCCTTTTTAGAGATTGTAAACTTAAAACACAGAATATGCAGCGGATAAAATAATCAGATCATATCTTCTTGATGATAGAACCTTCTTGGATAAATCACGTGCTTCCAGGAAACTTCTTGATGAACCAACCCAGCAGTGGAGTGATATCACAGATTGAATATCACCCACACAAACCACAGTGTCAAAGACTTGATCGTTGTGTTTTTGGGAGAGAGTCAGAATGTGGGTAGAAAAACAGACTACGTTGTTTTTTCCTTTTTCTCTGATTACCCATAACCATATCAAATATTTAATATATTATAATATCTATCCATATCAGTTAAAACTAATAACATCTGTATCTTGAGTGGTTATCCTAAATAGGTTTGAATTCAAAATCAAAACCTATTTGGATAAGGATCAAATGTTAAATTTAAATGGTCATGCCACATGGGCGCCCATTACTAACATCTCCCACTCGCACATGAGTTGGCATGACACTGCCACATCTCTATCTCAATCTCCCCAAAAACGAACAATCTCATACTAGCCAATGCACCGTGCGACCGCTGAGAACACCTGCAAGTGGGAGCTCTATACTAGAAACTCAACATGAGTCAGCATAGAGACATCAACCCAAAAAGAACAGAAATAGTGTCTCATGTACCCAGACCCATCTAGCTACATCAGTCCAAAAACATCTCTAATCCCTCAAAGAGCATGTTTGACTCTCCTAGGTCCCGCATTATATTCACACCCAATCAGCATCCTATAAAGAGCGATGTGAGTTGTCGACAGTGAATATAGAGCAGAGATGTAGAACTAGATGATCTTCCCTTCACCCTCATATCATTCAATTTGAAATTGACCGCTTTCCCAGTAATGTCCCTTAAAGCCGAATCATACATGACCACAGGCAACATACCAAAGTAGCTGAAAATCAACTCCTCATCTTATGACACCAGGTATATATTCAATGTCAAAATCAAAAATACTTCAAATAGATTGCCAGCGGGAAAAAATATGTTTACTAGCAATATTTTAAACATCTTTTTCCAAAACATATTTAGCATTTTTACAATCAATACATAATAAAAAATTTTGATTTAAAATATCATCTTGAAATTTACTAATACATAAGACAATAAATAAAATCTCTTTTTTAATAATACTATAATTTTTATGGTTTTTATTCCAAACACCAAAGTGAAAACGAACAATTTGTTCAGATGACGTAGGAGTGATTTTCTTTAGGAGGATGCCACCGTATCCCACATCGGAGGCATTAGCCTGAATAATTTTGAAAGAATTTTCAATAAGAATACCAAGGCAAGGCAAAGTCTTTACATATTTTTTGACTTGTTGAATAATAGCACTATGAGTGGGAGACCAGGGAGGAGGATTATCCTTTAACCGATCAAAAAGAGGTTGACAAGTTTTCCGAAGGTCTTGATAAAATTCAGTAATGTAATTAACGGATCCTAAGAATCGTTGTAATTGGGTTTTGTGTAACGCCCCAAATTTCTAGCCCAAATGATAATACAACAATCATGGCTCTTTCAAGGCAAATCGAATATAAATCTCCAAACTTATATTACATGATACAATAGTTCTTCATGCAACAATACATTAATCCAACAACAAGTAAATAAACAAATAAATACCCCCAAGGGTTTACAAGTTTCCAAGGCTTGCGCCTGATTACACAAAGCGGTTATTCAAACCCACACACATACAACCCTTGGCTTACACACAGAGTCAAA